AAAACTCGTAAATTACCGAGTGCTACTCTACAGCCGCAAATAAATAAGTTTTAAAGACTTTTCAACAGTTCTATAATCTTATCTCATCAAAGGCATACGTGAAAATGTTAAGGAAAATTTGCCAAAGAGAGGCAGATCGAGGTTTTGCTCCAGAAAGAACTCGGCAATTCCTGAATTGATTCCAAACGTGACGGTTGTCTCCAATACTTTCTGTCACCGATCTGTAAATAGCTGTGCATACACTATAATTAAAACCTTAGTAACTCAATGTCAGTATCTTTTCTTGAATTTTATCTCAATAAATTTAACTCTCTTTCAAACGGGGTAATTTACATATACATTTTTAAGAAGAAAATGCGCTTAAAATTTTTCTCCAGGTGATGAAATATCCCGATATCAATTGAACCCGGAATTCAAAAGATGGTCTTTTGAATGCACTGTACACGATTTCCGCAAATAAAAAGAATAATATTAATAAAAAAAAATGTGTTTTTTTTCATTATTATCTCATCAGAATTTTTAGGCAATTTATTATTTTACAATATTATAATTATATATCTCTTTTTTATTTCTAATGTAATATCATCATATTCTAATATGAATAAAATTTTATTATAATACATATTTTCTTCATATTTCGGTATTTTATTCTTATTTCAAAATTCGTTATTTTTATTCTACATATCATGTCATTAAATTTTTTTTTTTTTAGTCTGAACAAGTTGTGAAGATTTTGGATACAGCTGATGTTTGTTCTTTGTTATTTGTTGCACAGGTAAGCAAACGGAAATTCAGTTTTGAAGATTAATAACTAGATTTTTTTTGGAAAAGTTTTATCTTTACAGTAAAAATAAATTTCAATGAAATTATTTTTCTAAATATGTACAATGCCTCCCAAAACTGAATATATCTCACTTTCTTTCCTCCTCAAAGGCGTAAAACAATATTTATTAAATACGTTTCTATGTTTAAATTTTTTAAGAACATTACAAATAATAAATTACATTTTGTAATGTATATACATAAAATATACATTACAAAATGTATTAGACTAAGAAATAAAACTGACGAATCGATAATATTTTAATTACCATGATTATAAGTTAAAGTTACAGATTTCTAAATTACAAAATTTAGTATACACCGGATATAATTCCTAAGAATTTTTCAAAATATATAAGTTATTTCGCAGTATATTCCTTTGTATTTAGAACACCTTCCGAACTCTGTGTATCGATTTGAAAGAATTTGTGTCGTTTCGCTGCATATTTTTTATCCATCTGTTTGTTAAACTGTTTGTAAGTGTTCTTCGCTCCTAATATTAGACATTTGAACAGATGTTTCCATTTGAGACCATATTTTTCCTATCACAATGTGATTGACAGATTGAAGAAGTGTACGTAATTGTATTTTACAATTGTACAACCATAACTTAACAATTTTGACTGAATGTCTTAGTTCCTTATCTTCTTGAAACATACATTGCGACTTTTAACCTAATTTCTAAGCTTATAGCAGTTGAATATCTAGGATATGACAGGTAGGGCACGTGCTATGGGCGCCACGGGCATTTGGCGCACTCGTGCCAATACTAAACCAAGTTAATAAAAATTAATTAATTTGGAACAGTGACGTAAAAATTTTGTTAGTTAAATTGCTTCCGATTTATCGTTTTTTTTTTGTTTTTAGTCTAATATATTTTGTGATGTGTATTTTATTCTTTTAATAAATACGAGGTGTGGATATTAAAAAAACGAGACAGGCGCTGCTACACAAGACGTATGCACCAAACACCAGCGACCGATAGCTGTTTAGCGTTAAGCCTTCTCTTTCGAATGCAGTGCCTCTCGCTTCTATAAACACAAATTCATATACCCGTAGCCTTCGTTCGCGTTAGAGTTATTTTTTGCTTCTCCGGAAAAATGATAAGTGTAACAATAGAGTAACGAATTGTTGTGAAACTTCAAATGAAACTTTGAAAAGCCTGTACTGAAACTTGTAATTCATTGAAAGAAATGTATGGAAATAAATATTTATCACCTGCCCGTGTTTTTGAGGGGTTAAGAGTTTTCAAGAGGGCTGAGATGACGTTGAAAATGATTGATGCTTGGGTCGCCCTTCTACGTTAACAACGGATGGCAATATAGAAAATTAAAATCGGTAAGCTGGTTCGATTTGACTGTCGGTTAATTATTTGTGATATTGCTGAGACTTTAGGAATTGACAAAGAATCCGGACGGTAAATTTTACATAACAATTTTAACATGCAAAAAGTGTCTGCCAAAATGGTGCCTAAAATTCTCACGTTTGAATAACAAGAGGATAGCAAAAATGTTTGTGCTGATACTTTGCATATCATTGAAAATGACCCAAACTTATTGGAAAGAATAATAACGTGAACGTAGTGACGAATTGTAGTTTTTAAATTATGATCTTGAAATGAAGCACCAATTTCATGCAGTGGATGAGCCCATCTTCACCCAGATCTAAAAAAAACCTGAATGAGCAAATCAAAATTCTAAGTAACGATTAGTGTTTTTATCAGATATTCATGTGATTGTGTACCTTCATTGGATTCCTGAAGGTCAAACTATTATTCAACATTACTACCTAAACGTTCTTACTAAACTCCGGGAAAGAATAAGGAAAAAACGACCCGAATTATGGAAGGACAAGTCATTCCGCATTGTCTGTTAAGAGGTTTCTAGCCAAGTACAGCATCCCAGTGTTAGACCATCCGTCTTATTCGCCGGATCTTGTGCCATGCGATATCCATCTGTTTCCAAAGATGAAATCTGCATTGAAAGGAACAAGATTTGAGTCCGTTGAAGCTGTGAAAGAGAAAGCGGCACGCTTCCTGAAGGAGTTGACAGAAGAGGACTTCCTATACTGTTTCGAGCAAAGGAAGATTCTTATGGATCGTCGTTGGAATAGAGGAAGGGTTTATATTGAAAATGATAATAAGTAAATATGCATGAGATCAAAATAAAATGTTTTACAGCGTCAGTTCTCATTATTTAACAGCCATTCCTTAACTTAAATGAGTATTTAATAATATTATTTTAGGCCTTTTAGAAACAGAATAAGAGGTGTATACTCAATTTTGGAAGCCACTATAGAAGTTTAAGTAATTTGGATAAATATATACAATTTTTTATAAATGGCCTTTTATGTTACAAATATGTAATGAATTTAAAACATTTTATTTTAGATAAACGCAAGCTATAAAAATTCTGCATAATCACAAATAATTAACATTTAAATTAAATTAATTTTAAAGCTTCTAAAATAAATTTATTGTTTTGAAAACAGAAAATTGTTGTTTTGTGGTTGAAAATTAAATTTTATTAACATTTTCGACTTTATGACTGAAAGAACAAGCACAGAATATTTTCAATTTTACCATAAATTTAATGTGTGCCATGTTAAAAGAAATTTAAACATTGATCAATACATATTCTTTTAAAGAAACGGTTAATTATTTTATTAACTTCTCAGGAGAAGTAATAAATATTTTAAAATCTAATATCAATTTACATTCGCTGTTAAAAGATGTAAGACTTATTTCCCCCACAAATACACCAAATGGTCTAAGAACTAAGTGTCAAAAATAGAGCCTTTCAGGTATTTAAGAAAATTCGGTTTATCAATTATTTTAAATTAAAACTTTTAAATTCCTGTTAAAATGTAAATTAAAATGCTATATTCATCTACAGGTTAAAAATTCTTTTGTTGATATGAATTAACTAGTGCAACATGAAGGCTATTTGAAATTTAAAAAAAAAAAAATATTGTAAAATTTATTTTAATCCATTTATAAATACGGAACACATGCTATTCTAATAGCAATACTTTTTATAAGTGAATTTGGCGTTACAGAAAATTATTTAGTATTTCATCTATAAGGTTCTTAAGTTCATTATGACAATATGTTCTATAGGCTTAAAAAAATCTTCATTAGCAATGAACCGTAAATGTTAAATAGAGAGAGATCGACCACCTCGAGAATTTTGACTCTGCTCAATGCCACATGGTTTCGGGATTTTTTAATAAAAATTCAGTTTCCTTAAGAATAAAATAATATTTCAATTTAATAGATTGTCACATTGATGTTAAGTGTAACACAACTTTATCTCAGTTCAGCTGGTCAAGAAATCTTTCATGGGCGAAAAAGTGTCAATAGTTGGGTTCTGAAACTGGAAACCGAAACAGTGTTCTCCCCGCGATGAAATAAAAAATCGCTTATCGAGGAGGCGTATTCAAAGTTCTTTTCATCGCGGTAGATCTATAAGATTCCGTTAGTTCTGAAAATGAGTAAAGTAATATCCTTTATTTTCACAGAAAGGCACAATTGTGTATCGCAACTTACGTCTTCAGGAAGAAGCTAAATTTCACTGGGATTTGTGCTCCGATCTTCAGAAGCAAAACGGCGGCTGCCTAAAGTCCAGAAGAGCGTTATTCACTGTGACAGATGCTTCTTATCTGAACGTCAGTCGCCATTATTGTTTGTCGACCACGAACAGAAGCCTTCATTTTATTCACGCATCTCCATCGGCTCAATGGGAGACATTCAGACTTACAGGTAGATTTAGATCTGTGAATCGAAGTAGAGCATTGATTATCTGAAACAAATGGAGATTGGGAGTATCCAGTTAACCATTTTTTAAGGTAAAAAAATTGTACCAAAATCATTGGAGAAATATGAAACAAAGAGAGAGTGATATTAAACACAAAACTATACACATATTGTATACTGTACATATTACAAATAGCATAAAGAACTGATTAGTCTAGTTTGACAAGTTCAAAATGGCCATTAAAGTTGACCTACAGTTAGGAAAAAAATTCAAACTTTTCTTTTGCTTCAGAGCTGAGACTGGTTTCCACTCTTTAAATCTCTTAAGTATTTAAAGACAGCAAATGGATAGTGAGGGAGTAACAATAAGGTTTACTGGCGCAAGAGCCAAATCCAACTAATCTACACAATTTTAAATATGCCAACGGCAAGCAGTATTCCCAGGTGCTCAGTCACCCAAGTAATGCACGCACCCGATGATGCTTAATTTCGGCGATCGGACGAGAACCAATGCTTTCAGCCCTTTAGACAGTTGGTTGGTAGCAACAGTAGCAACACGTTCTTCTTGTTATAAGCACTTTATAGCCATTTGAAAGATGTGAAAAGCTTCATCACCGGAAGGTCCTTTTCTGTGCAAGCTTTCAACTTCACTCTCAAGTACACTCCCAATTTAGTAATGACGTAATTGTTGTCCAATACTGTTGCATTTACAACTCCATATTCCTGAGTCAAGCTTTTGATCCATTAGTACCATACTTCAGCTAATCTACTATTTTAAATTTATCGGAAACACTGGGCACAATGCGATTACTTTTAGTTACCATTACGAATGGTACAGCTACATCGTTATCACAAGCGAAGGCTCCTCCGCCACTGACGGCGATGATTTGAAGTTAATCGTATATAAGCCATTTGTTGTCAGGAAGGAGGGAAACACTAGCGATCACTATCTGCCGTTAGTGGAACTTCTACATGGCGTAAAAATTTCAATTTGCCGACTAGATTACTTTCATTATCCCATGTTTCGGTTGATCGATGCTCTACAGGAAATATATTCTTATCTGAAAGTAGAATAGTGTGACATAACTTAGAAGTATAAATAAATTTTAAATTCAATTAATCAGAAGAATTATTGCATTTCAGATTTGCCAACTGTACCTACTTGCCTAGAGAATAATTTTCAACCGACGGTAAGTATGCATGTCTCATGTCGGAGGAATATACTCCTAAAGTTTAATTCATTTATAGAAGATAATCATTTATAAAGATTACGTTTTAAAAGTTATTATTACCTTAAGAATATCTTCGCCTGAGAGAAAAAAAATGGGATAAAGAACACTGGATAATGTCAATTATAACAAAAAATTACGAAATTCAGAGCAGCCAGGACCTTCATTATAAAATTGAATTTTATATTTTTGAATGCATGTTTATACATTATGAAACATATAACATTTTATGCAAATTAATATAAGAATAACTTACAATTAAAGTAAAACGTTTGTTTTGGGTCACGCATTCCCTACTGAGTATGTAGCTATAATGACCTCGTTGGACACTTTTTCAATCCTAAACGCTAAACAAGATCTTACTGTACATTGAATATTATATTCTTTAGAATGATGTATTATTTATTGATATTATTTAGATAGGTAGATTACTCAAACATTGATTATTGATTTAGATAAGTACATTATTTATGATGATATATAGATTAATATTTACAATGATAGATTAGATTATTCAGATTATTTAGAATGCCGATGAAATAATATTGCATATAATAGCAAACTACGTTTTCTTTCTTTTTTCAGAATAAAACGAAAACATGTGAATTATTCATTGGAGATCATAAAGGCAGCATTTATGTATTAAAGTTCTTCTATCCTCGAACACTTCTCTTCGCCAGGAACTATTCCTTAGGAACACAAGTCATCCGATTTCAAGTAAGTATATAAAGAGGATGTATAGAGCTTTTCTTCATTCATTCTAAATATATAAGTCACTAATCAGCACAGATACAAATTAATAGTTAGGCATTGAATGAATTCATAAACCTTATTTCTTAAATATCCTAGCAGAAAAAAAAATTTAGGAAATTCTCAGGTCAGGGGAGCGAGGTGTTCAAAAATTTCTCGAGATGAGTCATTTGCATGAAAAAAGAAAATCTTCTATCATGCCCATATCTTCATTACTCGTTTGACAGAATTGTCTTCTTTGAACCAAAAATTTCATTTTTCTGATATAAGAACAAAGCTTATTAAAATAATCTCCAAACGACAGACGACCAGAAAACTGTCACACTAATCAAGGGGGATACAAGATGTCATTCCCAGCAGCTTGAAACACGTTTCTCAAAATATTTGCAAACGAGTTCAGTTTTGCTTTCAAGAAAGGGGCGGACATTTTGAGTATTGGTTGTAAATATGAGCTAAATTTTTTTTTTATCTTGCGTTATGTTAGAAGCGTCTTTCACCCTTAGCATGAAAATAATTGTTTTTGTGCAATAAATTCGCGAATCGTCATTACGGGGGGGACTTTTAGGACACCCGGTAGAACAATAAATATTCCATAGAATGAATGAAAAGTACAAATATTTTTTTTTTTCAATGAACTTCATAAATAAAAAATTATTGAACTTGAATTTATAAATTAATTATAGAACATTAATTAATTAATTATTGAGTACGTGCAAATAAATAAATTATTGTGTATTGATTTTCAGATTAATTTTTTCTATAAAATGATTTTCTAGGATCTGAAGCATCACGAGAATTACATTAAGTACAAGCTGATTAAGAATGTCCATAACGATATCGTTGATAAAATTCATTGCATACCGCACCTGAATATCCTACTTTCAAGCTCCAAACTTGATGTTGGGAAATCCATCGTTCTTCGAGATCTAACATCCTCCTGCGGTTTCCAAGCATATTCTCATCCACTAGTATGACCAATTTCATTTATATATGTGTCTATTTTATGTTAAATGCACACTTTATCCGGTAGAAAATCTTTTAGACAGATATTAATTTGAGAAAGTGCTTTGTTAACTATCTATAACGGTGTGTATATGTTTAAATTTCAGTTTTTGTGTGTATGAAATTTGTGTTCTCTCAGGGTTAAACCTGGGCTCTTTACCCTTTTCCAGATTGAAAAATATATAGTAATTATATAAATTCATATAATTATAATATGATGTTTGAGGGAGAACCATAATTTTTTTTTATTTCTTATCATATTTTCACAATTCTTATAATTACCTGATAAATACATGTGTCCTCTATGTAAGGCTCCTTGCTATTTTTCGACATAGTTTCCATCTCTGTTCTTGCACCTGCGCCTAAGGGTGACTAGTCGGGCCAACGTATCGGTAGCTATAATGACAATAGTTGATGTGATGTGATAGAAGTTTATTGGCGCAAGAGCCAGATATGACCATACTGCACCAAACAAGGTAAATCTGTGATCTAGAGGCAGCGGTAGCCTAGTGGTCAAGGTCATGGACTAGCGGCCGGTGGTTTTCATTCAGTCGCGGGTTCGATCCTTGGCCGCCAAAGACTCTCCTTGTAGCCGGAGCTGATGCACGTTAAATCTGTTCGAGGCCCAAAGTTCTCCCGTTGGCGTGGTGTGGATGTTAGGAGAGGGGGTGCCAGCTCAGGTGTCGTCCTCGTCACTTGATCGTGATTCAAAATTACGACGTCCGTCGCCAATAGCCCTCGTGTTGCTTCTAGTGCAACGTTAATAAAAACTAAACTAAACTGTGATCTAGACGTTAAACACTGAAAAACGATATTGGTCGACAAGAAGGAGAGTCGAAAATAAAGAGTGAGTGAAAGTGAAGTTTACTGGCGCAAAAGCCAGATGTGGTTATACTGTGCCAAACAAGATGTAACTGTGGTCCGGACGTACGAAAAAAATTGGAAAAAGGTAAAAATTGGTTGACAAGAAGTAAGGATGAAAATAAAGAAGAATCGCTAGGATATTCCGGGGGCATGTCATCCGTGTTTACCAAAAACAGTAAACCCCATAAGAAAAAAGATCACTAGAGTGCCTCGGGGTCATGATGCGCGTACTTACCGAAAGAATGCAAGCCCCTGAGGTCCCCTGATATAATCCCCAGAGGCAGGGTGCCTTGTTATACCCCCAGACGCTGGGTACCCATTTTAGTCGCCTCTCACAACATGCATGAGTTACAATGGGGCTATTCCATCACACCCGGTCACCACACAGGTTTACCAACAACAGACCTTAATGACAGCTTTCACCTCGTAGAACGAAGGCAATGTTCCTGAAGGTACTCGTTCATCTTTGGGAAGAGGGGAATGTCAAAACTTCATCTCCTTATGCTTCAAACTCATCTCCATGAGCGTGATCATCTTCTTCAGTTCGCAACAAACTAACAACCTTTAGGAATAAAAGACAGATGTAGAGCAATGAAAAATTCATTTATCTTTTAGGTACAATAAGAATTCCGAAAATCCGTTAACAATTAAAAACTTATTAGGGGCATTATTTTTCAGTCAAGGCTCGTACACTGGAGCCCAAAAGTTAAGCATAATTGGTAATTCTGTAAATAATGAAGGAAATCTGAGTCGGAATTGAGGGAAACGTGATATGCGATTGTAATATAGTTATAGCATAAGAAAACAATGCGAAAGAACGATAATAAAGACTTTATTATACAAAGAAACAGAAAGAAAGACATAAAATGACTTCATACTTCAGTGAAAAACAATTGAAATAAAAAGATGATGCAGCAGCTTGATAAGGTGTATGGTCCCTTCTGACAGCCAGGCACGCTGCGCAACGATTTCCTAAGCTCATTATGACATTGTGGATGAGCTGTGGACTCAAAGAGTTTCAAACGTCAATAAGAACTCTTCAATTCTGAAAAGGATTTTGATGAGTGCTGGGGCTCCCGCGCATATCCCACACAAACTCCTTGAAATTCAGAACAAGTGAAAATCCTAGTTATTTTTAAATGGGGAGAAGGGGGGATGACTTTTTCTCGATGGGGGAACGTATTGTTAGGAATTTATGCCTCTTCGCTGTATAAAAATATGAATTCATCAATATATATATTTTTAATCGAATAAAGCGTTGTAACGTAGGCTATAGAAAAAACTCATCAGAGACTTTTGCTTTGAGCTCCCGATTTTGTTTCCAACTCCCATTCATAGTCACAATAATACTTTTACTACTCCAAAGCAATAAATGCGTCAAATCTGGTGTCAATGGCTTTGGTCAACTACATTCATGAACACCTGACTCTGCTACTTAGGTGTGGCAGGGTTGATGCCTCTTTGTGAGGTATTGTGACCCATGACATTGATATATATGGGAATTTAGGGCTTTACCGTTTGATGCCCGACATCTGTATGTACGTGCGTTAAATTTGATATTAGCCGATAAGAGCGAATGCTGTTGGGGGACAAAAATGGAGATTGTTTGTGATTGAATTGTCCAATCGAAAATGAAATTAAATCAAAGGGGGTACGTGAGTCAGCCCTACCCGAGGA